GGAAGAGTGGGTTCAGTGATGGGTACCGCCTCCTTAAAAGCCCAAATCTGTACAGAACTGACCATGCAGAGGCCAAGCTCTAGACAGAAACTTAGAAATCCGCGGTACACGAGGTAGTCCAGTTACCGTGTTGGTAAGTTTGTGGTGTAATGGCTAGACAGAACTTGAAAATGAAGAAGCAGGTGGTGGTTGAAATCAAACATGACGCCCCTCCCAGCTCCCCTACCATCCCCATCTTTAGTTCCTCAGCACTAGGGCACTAAGCCTTTCATCGGGGAGAGTTCAAGTTACAGCTTTCAGGAATTCCTTATACTTAATCTAAACCTTGGGCCACTCACAAACTTGTACAATCTCCCTTTTCTTAAATCTTTAAAATAGAGCTAATAGTGGTGACAGTATCCTAGAGGTGTTGGAAAGATTGAGGAGGTATGTACAGTGCTTGGCACGGTGCCTAGCACATGGCTTAGGGAGGATATCTGTGAATTGGCTGCTGTAAGCTAAATGGTGACAGAATATGGTTGCCTTTAATTGTCATTCTTTGTGGGGGGTTTTCTTTTTTATTGAATTTATTGGGGTGACATTGGTTAATAAAATTATATAGGTTTCAGGTGTACAGTTCTATAACACATCATCTGTGTATTGTATTGTGTGTTCACCACCCCAAGTCAAGTCTCCTTTCACCATTTATCCCCCTTTACCCTCTCTTACCTCTCCCCACGCCACTCCCTCTGGTAATCACCATACTGTAGTCTGTGTCTATGAGTTGTTGCTTTTTGCTTTATCTCTTCACCTTTTTCACCCAACCCCGCAACCCCCCTCCCCTCTGACAGCTGTCAGTCTGTTCTTTATGAATCTGTTTCTATTTTGTTAGTTTATTTTTTGTTTAGATTCCACATGCATGAAATCATATGGTACTTGTCTTTCTCTGATTGACTTATTTCACTTAGCATAATACCCTTCAGGACCATCCATGCTGTCCCAAAAGGTAAGATTTCCTTCTTTTTTTACAACCGAGTCTGTGCTTTTTGATGAGCTGATAAATAGAATATTTGGAAGCTTCTATAGGAGATAAGTCTCTTGGAGACTATTCTTAACACTGCAGCCAGAGTGACCCTTTAAAAATATTTCTCCTCTGTTCAAAATCCTGCAGTGGCTCCCTATTTCACCCAGAGTAAAACCAAAGTCTTTCTGTTATCTCCCTCCTTTTACCTCTACCTCATCTACTACTAGGGACACTCCTGACTTAGGACTTTCTCAAGTTTGTTCGCTCTGCCTGAAATGTTGTTTCTCCTGAGAGCCACATGGCTTATTCCCTCACCTCAGTTTTGGTTAAGTGCCCCCTCCAAAGGCCTAGTCTTACCACCCTACCTAAAATTGCAAACCCATTACTTGCCTTGTAACCTGACTGCCCTCTAGTGGTTATCTGTTCTTACTAAATTTGGAAATAACTGTACTGCTAGTCAATCAAATCTCAAGGTCAAAAGGGATTTCAAGGTTAGCAATCCCATTAAATGCGGTGCAGAGACCTAGACTTCATGATATGAAAACAGAAGAGTATTTTTAGGAATGTGATCACACCTTTCAAATACTAAATTCACTTGTGATGGGATAGTCATTATCAAATAACATTAACGTAACATTTTGCCCCTCCTTTTCCCAAAAGATAAGGAAATAACCCAGCGAGGGTATAGCTCTAAGGCAGTCCTCATCATTTTTCAGTAGCAACTAAAATTAATATAGTAAAAAATATTCATTACAGCATGATTGGTGAATACATATATAAATCCAGGTAACTGATGTATCAAATCACTTCTCCAAAACATCTGAAGAGAAACAAATCTGGATGGTCTTGGATGTTCATTTTTTTTCTTCATTTTAGTCATTTGGCAGAAAACTGGCTCAGCAGGTCTGAATTGGCGAAGTCAAATAGGCAGATACCAGCCATGGGACTCTTGAGGCTCCCCCTTCCTGACCAGGCAGCCTTCCTTAGTGTCATAGCAGTTTTCTACTTTTCCTCACAATACCTCATCACTGCAAATACATAAGTAAGGGCACAGGGGATCCTCTAGACTGGCATGTTGGCCACAGTGCATGTAGACCCTCAATATCTGGTCTAAGCTGTGGGATAATTAGATTTGAGGGCTAGCCTGTACTCGGCTTCTTTCTACTTGTAAGTTTTTCCTCTAATAAACCCTACTTTTTTTATTATTTATTTTTTTAATTTATCTTTATTGTTGAGAGTATTACAGGTATCCCATTTTCCCCCCCAATTGATCCCCTCCACTTCGCTTCCACCCCCTTCCCAGGCCTTCATCCCGTTATTGACTGTGCCCATGGGTTATGCATATATGCATATAACTTCTTTGGTGAATCTCTTTCCACCCTCCACCCCCCTTCCCTCTTTCCTCTGAAATATGATCGTCTG